ATTTTTGCTAAACATGTGTTTTTTGTGTAACTTTGCAAACTTTGTTCCTTTAGAAAGATTCACTAATTAATAATCTAAAACCATACTGTTATTGATTCAAAGAAACTGTATGTATGTCAATATTGAAATGAAACAAATGAATGATTTTGAATGAAGTAAAAATAATCTGACATGATTTCAATTTACACATTTAAAATATGAGTCTTTAAGCCCATTTACCACATAGATAATTTTATCTCAGAATTACATATTTAGCCTTCAAATCGTTCAAAATGATCCAAAGCTTGCTATTAAATATTCATTGTTACACTTTTTAGTATTTTGAGACTAAATATTACTTCTATTATACACGAACACTGGTATATGGGTTTAAAAAATTTATTTCTTTAAATGTTTATTGAAGATAACTTGAGTATTTCATTACGTGTAAGTAATGAGCCTTTTTATATATTTTTTAGTTAATATTATCGATGTTAAAGAGTAAAAATACAACTTGTATACATTATCAAAACTAAATTTTATCATCAATCAATTCCAAAGTTTACAACCAATTATAATCAATCTGAAATAACTTGAAATACAAGCATTGGATTTTTAATTACTTTTCTATTTCCATATGGCTAAGACAATATTACTACAGCTGGTGATAAACGTGCATTACTTAAGATAGTAATTAGGCTCATTAAGAAATAAGGGTCGTTCGCGCCGTTGATTATTACCCTCTTGAACAACACTGCAACCCCTTGGATTCCGGAATTTCATTTAACATTCATGAGTTTTCACGCAATCAAACCAACAGTTGTAACAAAGAAGATGAAATTTTAATCAGGAATAATTAGGGACCGTTACAGGCTTCAAATAGAATGTTTCCTTCAAATTAAATAGGGAAATAGGGTTTAATAATTGTAAACAAACTTTAGCATTAAAGTTACTATTCTAAAACAATTGAAGATTAAGTTTTGGTCTTACAATTTCGGACGGCTTTTTAATACAATCCTGGAATTTATCTTGCAACCTAGTAGTAACTATATCATAATGTAATATAAGTGTACTCGATGAAAGCTATTTAAAACCTATTCATACTGTTAGTCCTTTAAACAAATTTGCTGTCTCTTTCGTTTTAATTCACCTCAAACTCAGTTATAATATTAGTAAAATTAGCGTGATATTTTGTTTCAACATGATAAATTAAGTAACAGACTCAAAAGTTGTTAAACTCATTGAAATTGGTTATTTTTTTCAAAGTTTGAATTTGAGGTTGGCAGGTTTAATGGCTAGAAAGTATGATTTTTGCAAGTCTGCCATCACTAATGAATTCAAGTCATGTAATAATGCCATTAAATGGTATTTGATACTTCGTGACATTTATCTAGAAAATAAAACATTGTGGATGTCAAAGGCAAGAACTCCCCTCATACCGAAGAGAAACCTCTACTGAAACTCTTAAGTTATTTTTTAAATGCTGTACTTTTATGAGTTATATTCTTTCATATACGATAATAATTCATCAGATGCATTTAAATTAATTTCTTACGTATTGCTTGTTATTTAAATTTCACCAAGACACCACTTGATCGACAAACCATTTGACCGCAATGGCACTTGACCGACATGCAAATTGCTCGCTATTCCATTTGGCCGAAATTTAAAACCCACCAGTGAAACAAGGGTAGTAAATAACTCGCAAAAACTAAATACATATCTATACAATACGCATTTACGCAACTGCTGATAACAATGACTATTCTGGCCCCACCCCTCTTACCCTTCCCCCCACCACTTTACCACCTCCCTATTCCAGGAGCTGCGACATTAATGCCAATTAACTTTGTTGAATAAACCATTGTCTAACTGTTATAGCTGTTACCCGGACAGCTGGAATGGTGAATAGATTTAGTTCACGTTTTAGTGGAACATTAGTCATGAAAAGTGAATAGTTCATAGAATGTTCATTTACCAGCTAGATTATTATCTCTTGCATCCTTGTTTTATTGTTTTGTCTTCTTTAAATTTAACCTCTGCGAAACTGGTTATTTTAAGCCGATCAGGGAGTGTGGGATTAGTTTAATTAGTTATACGCTTAAGGGGTGTTAGTGACAGCAACTAAATGTGAAAAAACATCTCGTATTTATCATTGTATGTTTTTAGGTTATGATTTACACTTGCAAAGGGGGTTTAGAATCGGTTTGTTAAGTAGCACACAAAAGCTCTTTGAGGTTTAGGAGTAGTATCCAACAGTGATAAAAAAATAATTTTGTTTGGTTGTTAAAAAAAAGACTCCCACTTTGAAGAAAAGTACTACATGACATTCAAAGCAACGAAGCATCTACACAAGTAGTAAACACGCTGTGCCAAGCGCAAATGGCTTGTTCGACAGTTTCTATTTAGTAAAAGCCATTAAACCAAATGTCAGCTCCTACTAGACACATCCACTGTCACCGCTGGACTCATTGTTGTGTCTAAAAGCGGCTCTTAGAATCATTCGATAGTGTGGTTTTGTAAAAACAGCAACTAAAGATGTTTGTGAAATATGCAACTTTTAAGGTATATTTTTTAACATTACGGATTGTTTTTGTAGCTTCTTGTGGACAGAAATTGCGTATGAATAGATTTATACGATTCCGATATAGAATACGTGTTTTGGGCAAGAATTAATTTAGGGTAACATTTGAATAGAAGAATTGACATAGCCTTGCTATTGACTGAGATTAGTTCGTTCTTTATCCTGAACTAATTAATATTTATTAAATGATGAGTCTAGTTTCTATTTTTAAAATTTACTAAAATTCTCAACACTTCTCAGGTTTAAACTAATGACATTTAAAACTAAGTCCTTAATTATTCGGCTGGATTATATTATACACTAAGGAAGTCCTTATCTCTTATGTATAGTATGGAACCTGTCACCTGACCCTTGGGCCTGAAACTATTATCCTCAGGTAGACGGAGAGCCAGAAGATTGGTTCCATCATACTGTCTATAATCATTATTGAAATACCTAATAATACTTTTCTCAGATTTAATTTTCCATCCCTAAAGAAATGTTGTCACCAATTGATATAAACAACGTGTTAAATTTTTTCTAAGAATAAGCACAACACATTAATATAAGGTGAATTGACAAGAAATATATATGATCTTTTCTTAGGTTTCATACGTACTAATTAAGAAACCATCCAATGTTGCATCTAAATTTGTTTAGCCCAAATTGAGTTGAAATCTGTTAGGGATATGTGTACTTTTTAATAAATGACATTAGTTATTTCAGAATTTTTTAAACGGTTAATTATATGTGTTAGGTTATGAAAAAATTCCACAAAGACTTCTAAACATGAAAGATTGTGTGCTATTGTAGCTATAATGAAGTCATTCGTTCAGCCGTGCAACAAATGTAGCGTTACTGACACAAATGACTGGAAATGCAGTTTGTGTGATGTGTGGAGGTTAGAGAACATAGCATCTCTGTGTGTTTTGAGGTTCGTGTAAAATTATTTAACGTTTAACAGGTTGTGACAAAGAACCTTCATTTTACTATTACTGTAGTAGTACAAAGATAGATTAAAAAGTGGACCTAATCTTTAGTCTTTATCTACTCCCAAGTCTGTAAATATTTACAGATATACACGTATTTTAGTTACAACATTATCATTATACGTAGGTATAGTTGATCCATTCCCAATACCGTAATAATTATTTGTCTAGCCATGGCAGACCAGTTAGTTTGCTTCGGCTTGCTCCTTAGTTTAGCATTTCAAATGAACACTTCAACGCTAACAAGTATCTCAACCCTTACAAATCAAACACTTAAGGGTGACGGATTTGAAATCGAAATCGGAAGGTTTCTCAGTTGGCTTAACTAAAATGTAAAGCTATACTCTGTAAGATGAAACCTGTCTCCTTCCCCCCGGGGTTGGCCAATGGACCGAGCCAGCCCTGGTAGACCTCCTAGGAGACAGGTTCCACCGCACAGACTATAATACTTCGTAAGAGCTTAACTTGTTTAACCCTATCATATTTGTACCCAAGCCATAATTCCTAACAAACAAAACCCACAAATTCAACCCCTTTGATACAATTACACATTAAACCCATAACAGTAATACCTGTAATATTAAACGTTCCCAAGTGGTTTATTGCTAATTAATGTCAACGGCCTTTGCTGAAGCTATGTCCGTGTTATGTCTCGTCGGACATATTGATATATGACCCCCCTGCCCCCCTGTCCCCCTGTCCCCCCATACAACCACACCAGTGTATCACTGCAGTAGCGACGTTACCACCAATTAGCTTCGGTGAATAAATTATTGTCTGTTACAATACAACCGTGACAGTTTGGGGGACTATGTTGGCAACAATGCGATTACTCGGTAAAATGCGTGCGAGTATTTAACTCATTCGGTTGTGTTTTTTCTTTGTGGATGCAATTGCGAAAATATTTTGTTGTTCTATACATGAGGAAAATTTGTATCTGACAGCTTAGGGGAGTCTGTATAGTAACAATGCGATAGCTCGGTAAAATGCGTGTATGAGTATTTAACTCATTCGGTTGTGCTTTTTCATTGTTGATGCAATTGCGAAGTATTTGGTTGTTCTATTCATGAGTAAAATGTGTATCTGACAGCTTAGGGGAGTTTGTATGTCAGAAACAATGCGTTTACTAGTTAGAATGCGGATATGCTTATTTATCTCATTCCTTTTCATAGGGAATATGAATTAGCAATATATTTAGTTTGGGTGTTTTAATTTATAGTCAGCGTATGTACATGCAACAAATAGAAATGAGTAGTTTTACTTACATTTCGGAAGGAAAAAAACCTATCCTAATCCAACCTGTGAATTTAAAATCGTGTAGTCCATTATTGCAACATGTGTTTCGGTAAGCCGGGATAGCGGCGTTGCCACTTTTCTCTTGCCATGATCTTGTATTAGAATAGACAATGCCTTAGCCAATCCAATGACTAATTTCGTCAGAACAAAATATTTGTCAACTACTAAATTACCTGCGACATCCAAAGTAGCGTTTCTGCTCCTAGCTGACCCTGCGGAGTTCCTGGCCTCACACCAGTAGACACCGGCGTCCGTCTCCTTGCGACCGTGGACCACTCGGAGGAAGAACAGGGATCCGGCGGGGAGGAGTACCCTGGAGAGACAAAAAACTTGGTGTTAGAAAAGCATTTTCATTCAGAGAGGCTAAAGGCGTAATTCCATCTTTAGTGCAACTGCTGTTACGGTAGGACGGAACTGCGGCGTTGCCACTTTTGTCTCACCATGACAACGTATCATATCGGGGGCTATCTGGCTAAGCAGAGTTCATACTGAACTCCATTCAAGAGTTAATTCAAGCATTGTAAACCCACAGCAGATACTGTATCGTATCACTTAGCATATGTGGATCACTTATAGACGATCAATGCATTTCAATTAGCTTTCATAACAAAAAAAATTATCAATACTGAGCATACGAACAGTATGCATTTTACTATAGCGCACAGTTTGATTTTCAAGCTGAAATAAAATAGAATCATTTATTTAAAAAAACTACGGACTTAAACGTAACGACGAGAAATCTTTTACAACGTATAACATAAATTCAAAATATATTAATACTCACTTATTTTGATACTTAAGTGAACATTAATAGGAAAATCGTGTTGATTGTGTCTCTGTTTAAAGCAATTGATAGATATAGACAATTTAAAAACAAAAACATCTTAAAAGCTATAGATTGAAATTTACCTATGAACTGCCGGCGTGAGTGGTTCCCCATCCCTATACCATGTAATTGTAGGGGATGGCCTCCCCTCCGCTTTGCAGTTGAGGGTAGCGGGCTCATGGCGAGGTACCACAGTGTCTACAGGGTGTTCTGTAATCCATGGGGGCGCTCCTTCATCTCCTGAAACAGAAATAATGGAGGATTTGTTAGATTCAGTCATAATAATTTGATCCAGGTAAACATATGAACTTGTTCGTGGTAATGTTCTCGAACCAATATGAAAGTTTGACCATAGACAAAAAGAATTAAATATAGACTGTCAGCCGTGCTGCGGTTACCATGGCTACCATAGGTTCTGGCGCACACCGCTGGGAGCGCCAATTCTTTTTGCTATGGTTTGACTCAATGTGTTACTGACTTTCGGTCCTAAGAAATTCTACAGTGCAAGCTTTTTGAAGACGAATGTCAATTTGGGTTCACAACATTCATATCCATATTATCCACCTTTTACTTCTAGAAATACAGATCCTTTACTATAATAAACATCTCAAATAAATTAGCAAACGCCACTTATTATTAGCTAAACGATATATCAAACACTACCTTTGTTCACATATCTGTGGACAAGAAAGATCAAAGTCGTAAGAAGCAGCCTCAATCGTAACTCTTTGCCAAAGACATGCGAAGTTGTGCAGCTTGTTAGTGGTAATTTACAAGTCTTTGCGTGTGGCACTCTATCAGACCTTTCATGTTCGTGTTTCCTCAATTGCGCGGTAAAAACTTCCTCAAGAAACTGATATTTTTATGGGGTTAATGGTTAAGTACAATGCAAATCAGCAGTGGAGTTTCCTATGGGGAATGGCATAAATTATGTACCACAAGTTTACATTGTTGTGTCTTTTGCAATTAGTAAGAACAACAGATTATTTACAACAATGCCCAAACGTATTTTTATAAATCTATATGTACTACAGCAATAAAATTTTTGAAAAATGCATTTCATACACCTAGAAAGGAAAGGTGGTCCTAACCCCATAAAATTCTTGGATATACTTTAATACTTTTCAATGAAATGGCGACCATACAAAGTAGGAATTTTAAGCCAAGTATAAAGGAGATGAGTGTAGGATGAGTGGTGCGATCTTGTGGTCTTGTTAGTGACGAAGGCTGACTTATTCCTTAGACACAGCTGCTAATTGATAGCCCATACAGCTTGACATATGACTATAAAGTCATATGGTTCTTAATTATTATTATGTTGTTTTTTGTAAACAATGTTTTAGTAAACAAACTTACTTGTAGCTCATTAAATAGAATTCTTCATATAAAGATTTAGTTTTATTTTAAAACAAGAAACATGAAATGGAGTTAAAGACGTATATAGTAGAAAGTCATCGCGAAGAATAAATCCTCCCAAAAGACTTGACTTATAAGTGAAGAAGGGAGATGACATATGACTATAAAGTCATATGGTTCTTAATTATTATTATGTTGTTTTTTGTAAACAATGTTTTAGTAAACAAACTTACTTGTAGCTCATTAAATAGAATTCTTCATATAAAGATTTAGTTTTATTTTAAAACAAGAAACACAGCTAATGGCAACTAAGGGACCTGCAGTTTATAGTGGAATCCGAACCAAATTTTTGCCTCGGTATTAACGAATTGGTCAAATTTTTAGGATACCCTTCAGTCTCCCTGAAGTCCGTGACATTACCTACTATAGTCCTCGCCACCCTAACTTGAGGCAGCCAAAGGCCGCACTAGATATACGCCGTGCGGCCTTGGGTTGCCTCATTTTAGGGTGGCGAGGACTATAGGCTATCAGTATGTATATTCTTCATTTTACAATTTATTTTCTAAAATAGTTTATGTGCAGATATATAATGGTACTAAGACCGAACTTCCCATCATCAATTACACTAACAACGCACACAAATTACACAAGACACCACGGGACGGTTTGGCTGTGGTCAAGTGGTTAGCCGCATTTTCACCCTCGTTTGCGCCCCAACCCTTCCAGAGGCATTCAAATATTTGCGTACATGTCCACGAAATATGTCCGCGAAGAATTTCATAAAAAGTCCCCTCGTTGGTCGATTGCCACGAGAATTTCAGCATCATTTCAACTCCAGTTTGTAAATGTTTGCATTTCGATTAGCTTTGTTTACAGTTCATTTTCAACGTTTGGAATGTTATGGACGTGTTTGCGTTTAAAGTTAAATCATGCTGGGTGGCTAATGTTTAGGGTGCTATCTCACCGGAAAAATCCTTTGGATGAATTGGAAATTGGGGTTGGTTTGAAAATGTGTTTATGATCAATTGATTTGAATATTGTATCCAAAGTTCATCCAAACAGATTATTTACTAAAACACTTCCTATGGGGATTTGGGATTTGTGAAAATCATGTAATATTTTAGCTACGTACTTTTCATACAGCAAACACAATATCTCGTGGACTATGCAATAGCAATGTTATTGTGTTTGGTTAAATTCATTGCATACACTCCACCAAATCTATTATAAATCATAATCACAACTAGTAATATATCATTGCATTTGGTTTATTTTAAATTTTGATAATAGAGGTTTTTTAGTGATATATAATAAAGATAAACGCAAACTACTGTAATTTTACTAAAGATACGGGTTAATTATTTTTTTTTATAGGAATTATTTTCTTTGCCAAAATCGGTTAACAAAGAGAACATTTACAGCTTAAGTCCTCAACTTCAACTGATTATTGTTTTACCAAACGTATAACTAAGAACGACTTCACATTAGCAATGCTTGTGTTTTAAATGGCAGTTTTTTTGTGTTATGACAAAATAGTATATATGATTACTAGGTTCTGTGACTTTTCTTCAGAAAAAATATAGTTTTGATTTCAACAATTACGAACAGACGTTATTGTGTTTTGGATACATTAATATTACTCCACCTGCAATAATTTTGCATCCCAACTCATCCAAATATCGATAAAAGTATTTGTTGCAGCAAAATATAAAATGTTACTCAATGCTCAATTGGCTCAATTACTCAATTAGCACAAGTATTTTTGAAAAACTATATAACACATTTTATCGTTACTACTTTCTTTGTAATAATCGTTCAAAAATTAACTAATTTCTTTAACTTTAGCTGATTTTTTGTACCGTTGGGCAAAGTGCAAAAGAAGAAAAGAAGAAAGGAAGAAATAAGGACATTTTATAAAAGGTCAAACTAAAAGAACTTCCTTTCATGTTTTATGGTTATGAAAAAAACCTGTTTGTATTTCTACGTGCATTTTTATCCATTAACGCTATTACAGAATTTTCAGCAGGCCCTTTCGTGTTGACAGGCTAATATCATCTGCCTTCAATTACGGTCAATTAAGGTCCATCAATTAACAATGGCTGTCATGCATGTATGACTTCCCCCCCTCCAACCCCCTCCACCCCGCAAATGGACAATAGAATATCTCAATCAACCGTGTGAAGTGCTGTGTGGATATGTTTTGTGTGTTAAATAAATGTGGGTAATTGAAAACGTCATCGAAGGATGAGTTTACCGATTAAAATATTGTTGAGTTTTACGTCATGAAAAATGTTTTTCGTATAAATAAGCATATAAAATTGTACATACATCTTCCATATACCACACTTCCCCATCTTTCAGTCATTAAAGAATTCTTGAGAGAAAATAGGAGATTTTGGAAACAAACAGCAATACTCAAATACTTATTTCATTTCATGATTCAAACCATCAGGATTTCCACCTCCTTAATATAATAATGATACGTTCTACCTCTCATTTTCCTTTGTTATTATTAATTTCAGAATTTGCAGAGCGATTCACAAAGGCACGATTGCCAAGAGAATGTTTAGAATGTTAACTTTGACGAGAAACAAGACAAAGTACTCTCTTGGGACTAGGAAGAGTGTAGACGTACAGAAACTTAGGTGTTTAAGAAGATAAGAACTTTGAACGTTGTTTTGAAAATTTTATCTCTTGAAGGTATGTATAAACTAAAATATGTTGCAAGAAAAACTTCAGTCCATAAAACATTAAAGTTTATGACTTCCTCTCGTGTGTATTGTAATTTTATTGTTTGATTTCATTTACAATTTTAAACTGTTTAAATTACAGGAACAAAAGATATCCAGACACAAATGGACCTATAACTTACTTTCGCGGACAATAAATGTGTAGAAAAGAGAATGCAAATCATTTTAAAATAAAAGAAAACAATCAAAATACTGTCGTATATAAAGATTTATACCATTAAAATTATATTATTTTATTTACTTATTGACTTTATTAAAGCAATTAATGTTGTCTGTGTATTAAATTCCAAAACACTCCCAAAAATATTTGTATTTTCTTTTGAAATTATGTTTCATAAAATCATGTTACTTGCCAAAGGACTAAATTTCCAAAACAAAAAACCCAATTGAGGCTAAAATGATTTTTTTTTTCAAACCTAAAATATATTATTTGTTCATTCCCCAATTATTAGCATACATTTCACTTTTGTAAAATTACACTAAAATCAAATACCTACCCGTTACGTAATAATTTGCATCACTAGATTCTACGTAAAACTAGCATTATGGTTGATTAAATCTTCCAACAATGTCAGATTTAATCAGAACATCTCTGTAAAGCGACTTATCCAGCACATCTATCCAGACGCTTAACACATCACAAAGATACATTAAACACAGGGATCTGTTGGTGAAGTTTTAGGGATGGAGCGTCACTCGCACACAGAGGAACAAAGGAAGCAAATAGTACCTCTCAAAGTAACATTAGGGGATGTGCAAACTGCGCTGGTGTTTGATTTAAAGACACTGATGGATTTACAACACGTTTTGTTGGGCCATAATTAATCAAACAGTTATAAAATAAAGAAAACTTATTGTTAATTAATATTTCTTCTAGGATGGTCTAGCTTGGATTTTTTTCACATTACTTCAAGGTACGCGTTCGTGGCGTTATTCCAAATGAAATTAATTGGTGATTGGCACGATTTGAACCCAAGACCTCAGGGACCAAAGTCACGCCAACTAGACCAGCTCACTAGCAAAGTATATCTTACTGACACCATACACTTACATGCACCGTTGTAGTACACATACAAATTAGGAAAGGTATTTATTCCACAATTTTGAGCCCAATACATTAACAGGCATGGCTGG